AGTATTCGCGTGACCCCAGGGGGTGGGGGATGGGGGGGTTGGGGGGACTGGTGAAACGCAGTGTCTTGCGTCGCTAGAACGTTGCATTGTCACCCAGCGTTGACGCTGGCTGTCCATTTTGGCGCGCATGCGGGGAGCAGGTGAGAGATGTAATGAGAAAGTGAGAAAATCCTTTTTCTGCACTCACGCGCCCACGCGTTTGTTTGTGTTTTAGTTCCTGGAATAACTTTCTCCCCCGGGGAGAACGGCTCCCGCCTCGCCACGGCGACCAGGAGGAGGGGCTTGTCAGCCTACCCCCATGGCAGGCGTGCACGTTAACGAAATTCCTGGAGATAAAGTAGCCTTAATGTTCTCCCCTCAGTGTAATTTTCTCTTTGTTATCTGTCCTTCTACAGGAGTTTTCAAACCTTCAAACCATTCCTTATCAACAGTGAGTCAAATGTTCTTGCTGTTTCAGAGAGGTGTTTTTTTCCCTCTCTTTTTTTAAAGAGCAAGGAATTGTAGCATAATTCTCTGCTGACAGAACTTCGCTAGTTACCCTGAATGTGTGGCCATTGCAAAGAGAGACTGGCTCCTTGACTGCAATAAAGGAAGTGAGAAGCTGTTTCACATCCAGAATGCGCTCACTCTGTCAGCGTTGAGCCTTGGGGGAAATCACTATCAGATACAGAAACGGAAAGACGCGTGACAAAAAGAAATCTCATAGATGTTGCTTAACAGTAGCATTTGTAGAGTTCAGCTTCATTTACACTGAATTACACAACGACCCTACACGCAGACACATCTATATCGGTGGTTTACTTGTGTCAGTCTCTGGAGAGACTGGTTATGGAGCTTGTAGGCGTTGTGCATTTGTGCAGGCGGGTGCAATTATTAGAAAAAGCAAACAGGAATAATCAGCCGCTAACAGATTTGTGCGTGATACGTTGCGCTATGTAATTATGCGCTGTTGCTCTGCAGCGAGACTTAACACACAACTTTGCACCTATATCCAGGACTGAAGCCAGAAAATTACCCAAAACTGCAATCGTCTAGCTACTCTACTACATCGATTTGCAGAAGCTGCCACTTGCTGCAAAATGACACATTTTCGGTTCACTGCTTTCAGCTGGTCTTGATTTGGACCAGGTTGTGAAGTAGGAGTGAATGCCATGCCAGAGCGTGAGGAAGGCGAGAACAGGGCTGAGTAATGGGGCAGCGTTCAGAACCCTGTGCTCAGAATTCAAAGGGTTTGTGGGTTTGAATCCTTTTTGAGACCTTGCTGCTTCATGTCTGGTCATGTCATTCATCACAGACCCGCGGCCATGAAACTCAACAGTATAAACGTAGCTCAGAACACAGAATGATGCAATAAACACAGGAGAGCACAGCTCATCACTGTGCATGAGGCTCTTCCAATTAAGCATACAAACAAGCAAACTAGAATAGTAACACATAATAGTAATAATAATAATAATAAGACAGAGTGCTCACCGGAATTTCTTTTTCTGGCTCTCATTCCTCCGGATCATGTCCAGCACTGCATCGTGGTCATAGTGGTGGCTGCATTTCTTATTCTTCACAGGGTTCACCATCTCCATCTGGAGGGGAAAAACATGATCTATTTCAGGACTACCAAACAGCAGACGTTATGATTCCCCTGATCTAGCCCCTACTGCACCAAAGATATGCAGCGTGGGTCCAGGATGCATCTCCAGGCTGAAACATGGCTGTGTTTGTTTTCTTAAATCAGGATGCCTCATCATCACTTGTGACAGTGATGACGTCATCATCTATGTGACAGTGGAAATAACCGAAGGCCTCCTTGGCAGACAGGCGACTCCACATTCAGAGTGTTCAGGGCAGTGTGACGCAGGTGTGGATGACGTACCAGTGTCAGGGGACAGGTGAGTTTCTGCTGGCTCTGCGTCACCACGATGTCCTCGTCCAGCTCCTCCTCTGTGCTGGCAGCAGCCGACGGGTTCGCTACGAGTACACACACGTGCACATGGACACGCAGGGACGCACACACATGGACACAGAAAGACATGCACACAACCCCAACACACACACACACACACACACACACACACACACACACACACACAGAAGAGTGCGTCAGAGTCACTGCAGGGCAGCGGGGTGGAATGGCGGCGTGGCCTCTGCTCTTGTGACCAGGGCCCTGTGCATTCCACTCCTGCTTTGGACAGTACAGCTTCCCCATCAGCCGTCAGCACGCTCCACCAGGACTCCTCCTAAGCTTAGCTCCGCAAACACAGCCCTGACCTACTGGAAGACTTAACACACCGGCAACACGCTCAGCCAGGAGAGGAGCATCTGCTCGCTAAACGGGTGGCAATTACACTGGCAGTCGCCACAGCGGCATTTAACTTTGCCACAATCACTGTTTTTAGGGCTGCAGTGACTCATGTTGGGCTGAACGACTAAAAAAGAAGGGGGGGGGGGACGTCTGCTGACGTGTTTCAGTGTGCAGCAGCAGAGCAATTTATTTGTACCGCTCCCACCTCGCACAAAAACCTTTAATACGAACCAGATGTTTCTGGAAGAGTCCAGGGTCATAAATGGAAAATTATCCTCTTTATTTTCAGGAGTTACTGTTGTGTTTTTTTTTTTCGTTCTAAGGTACAGTAAATGAAAACAGCCGCGGCGGGGCTGGCCGAGCGGTGAGCCCCCCGCTGTTTCGACACTCGGGTCTGTGTGAGAAAAGCAGGCCCCGCGCAACACTCACGGCGAAAGAATGAGGTCGACGCATCGGACCACCCTGCGAGATCTGACAGGTCGGTTTGTCTGCGCCCAACCTCGGACTTAACCTCCGCATCACATGACGGATGCTCTCTCCCCCTCGGGCTGCGCAGGGGGACCGTTCGTCTCCTGCACAGAAACCACAACGCAGCGTGCGCGGACGTCACGGCCTGCCCGTTCCAGCATCCGCTGCTATGAAAAATAAGGCCTGGCTCACCCTGCACTTATACGCTTAGCTATCAATGTGAGCTCAGAGCAATGGAAAGAGAATTTGAAAAAAGCTTCTGCGTGAATGGACCCAGCATTCACCCAGCAGTTGTCCTGTACAAGGCTGGTTTAGAAACGCCTGGCATATCCAAACAAACATATTCCCCTAGGTTGAACTTTTGGTATTTTTGAGAGAGAGGAAGTACCTCAGGCAGCCTGTCAAGATTCTAGTTGACCCCTGTGGAGGGGTCATGCTGTAGGTCAGGGGGACAGGTCTATCATTTTAAAAGGACCTGTTGTACTGCATGCTTCCACCTGTGTGTGTGTGTGCGTGTGCTTGTTTGTGTCCAGGCAGTGAAATGATGTAGCTCTGGGGAATCTCTCTGCAGGAGAGCAGAGAACCCTGGGACAGGCGGAAGGTTTTACGACGCCGCGGAGGATTACGTCAGCTCTGCGGCCCGAGACGAGATGAGCGTTCTCCACCAGGATTGGGGCGGATGCGAGGCCTGCTTAATTTCACTCTGCGTCCCGCTGCGTCTGAGGTTCGTTTGAGGTTCAGAGAACACGGACAAGGTTCATCTGCTCCGTTCCACGAAGGCCCCGTTCGGGCCCGCCTCCTGCTGGACGTCGTGGCAGGAAGTTTGCCCGACTCTAACCCACAACAGCCCTCACATGTCTTTTATGGTTATGGCACCGAAAAAACAAAACCTCTGCCCTCTGTGGATGGCGTAACCCAACACTGATCTCGCCCATGTCATAAAACAGCTCAGCACTGAAAGCGAAAGCCAAAATTTTAGAGTAAGCAAAAACACCCTCGTAATTCCGGGGGGGTTGGGGGTTTACAGATCCATCAATCTGTACATTGGCCATAAGAAACGGCAGTGATGCGTATGACGGTTGTGAAACCGCAGGATTCTGTGTCTTTAACTAAAAGCACAGTGGAGCGGCCCTGTTTGGATTCCTTTCGGTACCTTGTCACCACCTTGGAGTAGCAGCGTCATCTCAATCCGCACTTGTTTTTTTCTTTTTTTATCATGTAGATGGAAGGCTTCCAGACCTATTAGTGCCGTGTTTTCAAATGAATTTTTTGTCTGTTTGACACTAGTCTAGACAAGAAATCCAAACGATTAAATTTCCCGGGAACTTCCTATATTACATTCATTTAAATGAAGAAAAGGAAAGAAAAAAACCCCTTCAGGGTTTGAACAAAATGAAAAAAGCGACAAAGCACAGTGATCTCGGAGCTCTATTGTGACTAAATAAAGGATTTCCGCTGCATACCTTTAGTTTAGCTGTCTAAAGAGCATTTTACATGGGAAAAAAACACAATGTCAGGATGGGCAAAAAATGTTGACCCATGGGTGAATGCCTCTGCTTGTTCCATATTAAATATCCCACAATGCCTCTGTAAAGGATGTTGTCTCTGTGCACTTACTGTTTGGTTGTACATGGTTCTGTTGCTCTGGGACCTTGAGGAACGGGTGCTTCAGGAGCACAACAGGGAAAGTTTTTGGTTGGAAAGACCACAAAAAACATATTATGGTATGTTTGGTATACATTGTAAAGTCCACCAACCAGTATGCCTGAGTTTTATTTTCTAGCATTCAATAAATTGTTCTGAGAAACTTTAAAGATGCCTTCATGCTCCAACCGAGGTCTCATTTAAAAAATAATAACAGCAGGGTGAGCTAGCAAGAGGTTTTTTCAGACGGACTTAAAAGTAGGGCATGCAAAAGAAGCAAATGCATTTCTGAGCTGTAGCTCATAAAAATGCCCATTTTAATACCAGTGAATCTGTGGCAGTTTATGAATATACAATCCATGTTTGCACTTGCCATGCAAAACTATGGAGGATTAGGCATGGAGCTTCATTGAATGTTCAGACCGTGTCCTTCACAATGAGGCAGACAATGCCACACTAAGACTTCATTACATTACATTATTGTTATTATTGCTCTCATCTCACAAACAATTTTTTACATGTTATTCATTTATAAAGCTGGATATTTACTGAGGCAATTTTGGGTACCTTGTCCAGGGGTACAGTACAGTGCCCCTGCAGGGAATCGAACCACCAACCTTTTGCTTAAGAGCCCTGCTCCATAACCACTATGCCACACTGCCGCCACCACTTCAGAGTGTGATCTCAACACAGTTGTTACACAGTAGAATCATCAATGGACAAAATCAACATGGGAGGCAGGGAGCATGAGCGCCTTCATCACTGGATTTGTGTTTGTGTTTGGCGTTACATCATTAATGTCGGCAACTGAACTGGTAATAATCCAAAGAAACGCAAACGCTAATTTGAAGCACATCTCGACGAGAGCCAGATGTCCGCGTGTCAACATTCATTATCTAGCTGGCGCTTTATAAACAGCAAACCCTTTCCGAGCCGAATGCACGCACAGCTATCACGGTCTTCCACGTCTGCAGACTCGGCTCGTTTGGGAGTGTAAAACGCAAAACATCTGCCCCGAGTAAGAATGGACGCTTATATCATTTCACTGAGGATTACTCATCCTGGAATAAAAAAAAGAAAATGTATGAATGAAACACGGCTTGTTTCAACCTGACGCACCAAGGGGGAAAAAAAAGCTGCAGCCCTGGCTGACTCATCCAGCATGTAGTCTTTTATAGACCATGCAGAAAGAACATTTAACAGCATGCTTCCTTCTTCTCTGGGCAGTGCATATACTTCAAAGCACATAACATAACACGATACTTTGCACAGAGTTGAAATAACTAAATGGGTGCATGGATTTTTCTTTTGGTATTCTTGGATGACCAGAAATGTGTGTGAGGAAGGTTACGGTTGCTTGGGTTGAGTTGTAAATTGAGCCGACGGAAGTTCCTGAAGTTTGGTGGTTTCTGCTGAGGTGCCTCAACAAACACGTTACTCGACGTAGATCTCGAATAAGCTGTGGCACAACTTCAGGCTCTCCTGGTGTGAAGCCTAACTCGTGACGAACTCTGAAGACGCTGCTGCAGACAGGGACGTTCCTCAGACTAGGGGTCCTTCCAGGACTTGAGCAGCTTCCTGACATACACTGGCAGGGGTCCCACTTCTTCCCCCTCCGAGGACGCAGGCGAAAAACACCTCTCTGGAAGCGTTCCACCTGCCTCCAAAACACTGGCCGTGGAGGGGGAGGGGGACACGGGAGAGCGCCCTGCCGCGAAACCATCATGTTGCACAATCGGCAAACACGGCACCGGCTGCCAGGCTTTTTTTCTGTTTCCTTCCAATGTTTGGAATCATTTTTTCTCCCCCTTTTTTTCCCTGAAAGCGACATCCCTGGGTTTCTAATAACACCGCGCGGAGCCGATAGCTATCAATGAACGTGTCGCAAGGCTGCTGTTACCTAACCACGGCGTCCACTCCCCGCACCATCTGCCATCCGCACGGGCTGTTTGCTTTCCATAACACGCTTTTTTTCTTCTTTTTCCATCCCATTGAGGGACGGAGCGCCGTCTCCGCACCGCCCGCGCTACACACGGCGGGGGGGGGGGCTTCCGATTCGACAGCTGCCGCTTCTGTTTACAGCGAGCCCCGCTGTCGGGAATGTGTGTCAATACAGCAGATAAGAGCCTTGAAAACTGACAACAAACAGAAATCAGATCGTCAAAACACAGGGGGACGCCCGTTAACGACCTTCGTGGGGCGATGCTGACGTCTCTGTAGCGTCGCGGGGGGAGGCGGGGGGCTTCGCAGGCCTCCTTCCCCGGTCGCACGGGGGTACGGTCAAGTTGGCGTCAAAAGCGCCGGGTTTTGATAATGGACACAATGTCTTCTTTTGTCGGGAAGAGGAGCTGATGCGCATCTGTCCATTGGAGCGTGCTACGCTGAAAGCTCTAAATGTTTACCCTGCAACAATGCGCTCTGCCTTTACGTGAGATGGCCTCCCCCAGGCAGAGAGGCGGGAGCACTGAGCACGGGGATAGGCTGCCTTCCTGCCATGTCTACCATCACATTTACCAAAGTAATCTACCCTCTTGCCCCGGGTGACTTACGATGGATACAACATTTACAAACAGCATATCAAGCACAAAATTACACTACATTATGCTACACTACATCAAAGTAAATCTTGGACAAATTACATCTATATGCTTATACACTTAAATGTCAATAAAACTTGAACAAACCGTAAGATTAATTGAAAAAAGCTGAATCGCCGTTAATTAGCAAACCAAGGTTGTTTAAAAAAATCTGAGGAACAGGTGAACGCTGTAAAGAAAACGCAAGTGTGCTTCAGCACAGTATGTTTCACACTAACAATCTTCAGTGTAAGTTCAAGGGCAGGGGTACGATGCATGAGTCATCGCGGATTGTGTTACGCTGAAAGACAGGTGACGTCAGGAGGGTGCTTTTGGTCTTGCAGTGAAGGGCCTGATCGTGAGAGTGCCATGTGCCGTTCTTCACCCATTTTAACACTGTGGATGTACACACCACACACTATATTACAGAAAGATAGAGAGAGAGGCAGTGCCCCTCCCCAAACCGCCAAAAAGCTGTTGTGAAGCAAATCATATTATTCGCCATCATTTGTGCTTGCCCAGATTTAGATCCCTCCAGACTGTAACTGACTGGCTCTCCTCCCACAGGGCGCTCTATTACTTATTAGTTTCCCCAGGTTTTAGAGAAATCCGGCTGTAACTTTTTCAGTTGGGATGTTGACCGACAGACAGACAGGAGTGATCCCATACCTCCGCTCCACCTACTGGTCGCAGGGGTAAACATTCAACATTTTTGGGTGGGTTCATTAAAGCGCTGACTTGATTCTGCATGTTGCAATTTTCGCTCGCTAAAGATAATAGAAGTGGTATTTCTTGCAAGTCACAGCCGGTTGCTCAATATGCATATAATGAGGTGGTGGTAGTTAACGTTGACCTTTGCCTATTGTCCTGAAGAATGGACTGATTCATAAACGCCCATCGCGCCTCAAGGAAAAAGGGCTCTGAAGGTAAAATTCGTGAGTCAAACTCAAGGTTACGCCTCAGAGCTGGTAACAGCATACCGTCCTTACAGCACACCTAGGGCTGTTTCTTTAAAAATAAAATGCAAGTTAACATGTACGTCTAACTGGGGTTTGAAATTAACATTTTCGTGGAAGGAAAACAAGGTAAGCTTTTGAACAGGGATTCCTGGAAAGTTAATTTGGATGTGCTGAGCATGTTCCATTCAACTGCCCTTATGAAGCTTTTCATAAGTGCAATGACCAAAGACTTTTCATCAGTTTAATTCACCATCAGAACATTCCTGCACGCCCTTTTGCTTCTGCTGCATCCTTATGTTGCACTGGTGCTGCATAATCAATATTGTGATTCCAAATCAGTGTTATACATCTATTTATGATATATTATGCAGGCCAAATGGATTAAGCATGACATGCTCCAACTGAATGGAGTCACTGTAAATTCTGCTCCATGTTCTTAGTATCCTCAGTGACAGTTGAAAAGTGGCTGTATTTAGTACAACAGCGGGCTTCTGTGCCATTTTACTAAATGTGTGGTCCCTAAACGGCGGCCGGGGGGATTGATATGACAACACTCTTTTGGCTCACACCAGATTCTACGAGCGCAACCACTGCACTGTTCCGCCTCACAGGTCTGTCAATAAGCAATCACACAGGGGTAAAAGGAGCCCTGACCGTTTCTCAGGCTGCCGTGAGTGAAAGTCAACCAGCGGTGTCCCATAATAACATTGTGGAAAGGAGAGAGAGGAAAAAAAAAACCCATCAGTGACACAATGCACAACCTCTCTCCTCTGGTTCCCCTCGCCTTCTTAGAAGTCTGCTGTTTGCACTTGGCAAACGGGTCGGTTGCACAACTGCGGCGCTATTCAAACTGTTCCCACACAGGCCGCTGTAAATATTGGTTCAAAGACGGGTAGACGGCTTTGCAAAATCGGCCCTGGCACTTCTGCAAAGCCCCCGCGGATTAGGGGAAGACGTTTTCGCCGGATTGTTTAGCGGGGCCCCGCTTTAGCGTTGCGGCGGTACGATAACCTCAGCGGTGGCTGCGGGGGGATACAGCAAAGCCCTCCAACTCCAGGGCTTAAAGAGAGCTCTGTCAGAACGCAATCCCATGACTCCACACTCTGCTTTTTTGCCTTTAGGCCCAACGGGCCTGTAGGTTGGCTTTCGGTCCCGTGGTGCATTAAGAAGTGGCCCCTTGTCCTGCTTTGTGTGTAGTCATTCTGCAAAAAAAAAATCGCAATCAGTGACGCTTTGTTTCCGATGCTGACATGGACCTGCAGGAGTGCATCTGCAGTGTTGGACATCTTTGTGCAAACCAGGCTTGGCAGTGTGGGTGCATGCTGTAGTTCCGTTCTTGCAGGTCAATGTCAGCATCGGCTTAGATTACACCGGGCCAGGCCTCCTGGTGTTTGAAACAAAAGCAGGTTCTTTTAGAGGATGTGCATCGCATTGTTTTTTGAGGTGCAATGCAATTTTGCATTTCATCAGATGAAGGGGGGGGGCTGGTTTCATAATAATGACCACTCAGGGGGACCTCTCCAGTAGTGATGCTGCTCTGATGCATGAGGTACGCCTCTCCCCTCAGATGAGTGAGAAACGTCTGCAATGAATCCATCCGCGAAAAAAAAACACGAGCTTTGACAATGACAAACGCACAAGCCATTCAAGTCGCGTCCAATTCCTGGGGAATTACTGTGCCGTTGGGATGCGATTTTGATTGCCCATTCACGAATCTGAGAGATAAGACGCCGCATGCATATTTTGTCTGGAGCCAAAAGCTGGCGGGACCCAGGAATCAATGGCTGAGCACAATGCAGACAAGATCTGAGAGCGCGGTGACAAAGAGCCCCCCTCGCACCTTCCCTCTGCTGTGTTTTTCCCCCCATGTTGCTTGACTGAAGAGCCATCTTAGGACAGGTATTGTGAAACTTTAAACAGTGGCACATTTTGTTTAATGAACTAACCGCAGAGGCATTGGGAAACCATTGTGCAATCAATGCCCTCAGCTAATTATTATGAGATCAAATAGTAGTAGCCATAGAAACGGGTCCCTGTTTTCCAAAACAAGCGTTCCTTTCATATATTGCTGTGACACAGAAACTGCAAGTGTGCATCGTGTGTGGGGGTGTTGACTCCTGGCTGCCG